TAGAACGTAATATTATCTTCCTCCCCTTATGTATGGTTGGGCAAAGAATTATACCTGAAATTTAAGCAGTGCAAAGCTTCACTTTGGCAATGTGCCAATATGAGAAATGAGGTCCCATCACAGACCAGAATTTCAGAATTTCTTTTCAGTAAACTAAAAAAAAAAAAAAAAAAAAGGCCCCTTGGTTTTTTTTTTTTTTTTTTTTTTTTTTTTTTTTTTTTTTTTTTCCCCAGCATTGCGTAGTTTGTGAATTTGTATGCATTTCATAGGTTGTCATTATCCTGCCAAGGACAAATTATGTTTTGTGCGGTATTCTGCTCAGTACAGATAAATAATACAGTCAAGAAGTTTGCTGCCATTCCTGAAGATACGATCAGATGGAGATACTTCTGTCTTAGATCTGGAGAAGTTGTCGTGGGAATGCATTTTTGTGGTACTATATTTGGGTAGTAGGAGCCCTTATGGACTCTGCATAGCAAATATGTATTGTGGGAGGTGGGACATGGGAAATACCAGAAAAGGGTGTCACCAAGGCCCAAAGATCTCCACACCACATGGTATCTTCTCTCATCCAAGACTTCTGAGAGCATCAGTAACCTCATGATTGACATGCTGATTTAACAGAGCAGCACGGGCAAGCCAGCCTTTGAATTTGAACTTTGCCATGGTCCATAATGCTACTGAGCAATTAGAGTGAGTACCCTACTACTGCTACCATATGTGAGCAGTTGACAGATACAGCCAGGAACACCTTTTACCAGAAAAACAGATGGCAGTTCTGTTATTCTGGAATTAAACTAAACGATGTGTCCCTACCTCTCACCAAAAGAGTTGGAAAGTCTTGGGTTGCATCAACTGACTTTGGTTTCATTAGATTGCAAAAGCATGGGTGTGAAAAGCATACTCCCTATCTTCACTTCTGGCTCAGTCCGCCACAGCTCTTCCTCCACCTTTGTGTCTCGGAGAAGCCCATCTGCAGCTCTAGCACATGACTCTCTCTGAGGGCAGGATGGCTAAGGCATGTGATGGAGCAGGTGAGATTTCCATTTCAGAGGGCAGCTGTGAGAGTTTGTTTTGGATGGTCAGACTGCAAACCTCAGTATGCCGGGCAGTCTGCACACTTACCAAGCTAAGCTCTGGCATCCTCTAACACACCCTTTGAGGAGAGGTTGCCAAATTACTGTTTTCTGATGGAACAGGATCTTTATTTCTTGCCATATATAAACCTAAAGAATTATTAATGCATCTGGATGCACTTACACACTTAGAGAATAAAGAAAACAGCACTGTAGATCCTAGAAATTAATGGCCTTTTTTTTTTTTTTTTCTCCACAGGCGAATTTGGGCTCAGCTCATTTGTAAGTTTGGTATTGCATGGATGCAAGGCATAGGAAGAAGTGTTAACAACCAATTAGCCAGGACAGGAAAAATGAGGTCTACAATGAGATGTGGACATTGGCAAAACAAGATCACAAGGGAATCTGCAGAGTTTTGAGAGCCTTCAATTGCCAGACTGAGCTTACAAAATTCCTTTGGAAATTTGTTTTGTTAACACAGCTGTTGCATCCAGCATGCAGGGAGGCAGCTTCTGCTGCCAACATAGTAGGAATTCGAGAGTTTCAAGTCTTCCCTACCACTCAAGCTGAAACAAGCCAGGTCTTTCTGGAAGCAATGAGAAAGGTCATCTTTACTTTTGCCAATGTTGAGTTATGCCACCCAAGAAATAGGCCTGGAGAATAGGAGCAGAAACATCTGGTGAGGATTCTGAGGATACAACATAGCGTAGAGGAAGGTGTGGTGTCATCACAGGATGCTGGCCTGTCTCTTCCAGAAATGGTATTCTTGGACAGTAAAGTGTGCAAAGCAGAACCCCCAGTGACAAAGACCATGCCTAAGCTTCTGGCTTTGGTTGTGCACAAAGCCAGCATTGATGCCTTGGGTGGAGAAATTTAAGACCAAACTCAATCCTAGCTACCAATTATGGAGATAAAGTCGAGAAAGCTACCTGGTACTTGAGAGGTGCTTAGCAGTAAAATTCCCTGTGTATTTTACTGAAAATTCCCTGAAATACCTGTGTACAACAGAGGTTTTAGACCATCACTGGTAGTGATAATCATCATGTTGACTTTTCTGGTCCTGCCTAATAATTTTTACTTCTCACTGTGCGATTGGCCTTGGCTATGTTTTTTGCAGGCATTCTTGATTTCCGTTCTTCATAGCAACTCTGAAGAGCATAGGCTAGGCTGTAAAATGTATGTTATCACAGCTGAATAGGTGCCCAAGGCACGTAGTCATTCAATACAGCAAACTAGAATTGGAAGTGATATTTTAAAGGGCATTTCCACTGTAAAGAAAGGAGTTGCATTTCTTAATGTCTGGTACAGAAATGAGTCCATCCTCTTTTGCCTTTCCCCTCATAGCCCTTTTATAAGTAGAAGGTGGAGAGGCCTTGCCAGCACCGCTGTGAATAGCTTAACAGCATAGCTGTTTCTCAGTAATGTGCATTGCAGAATAAAGGGCAACTGCTCTGCTCGGGATACTGTGGGATAGTTCACAGTGGTGTCATCTGATACAATTTATGTCAAGTTAAACTAAATCCTTAGCTTCTTGTCTCAATCTCCATGATACTGGGGCAATATGCTACTTTCACAAGAGATGCATTGAACTGTAACCCAGACACATTTGGTTTATAATAACCACAAAAACATGTTTAGAATATTTTGCTCTGTTCCAGGTCACAGGTCAAAAATACAACTAAACACTAATTATGTTGCTTAATGCAAACATTTGGACTGCCTATTTCTAACTATTATCGTTGCTCTCCCATTTGCTTATTCTATTAGGAGCCCATTTGCTGCTTTCCTACTTCTCTATGTCCTATTTGACATTTCAGGATGAATAAAGAAGCTCTTTCAAGTGTTTTAAGTGCATGTGCATTTCCTTATGGAAATCAGAGCTTAGCACAGCCATTGGTCTTTGAATGCTTGCAGATGAAGCATACATAAAAATACATGTAAGCCTGTGCATGCATACATACCAAAGTCGGACCTTAAATGCTTTGAACTCTGGCCCCAAAACACAAATTCATAATTCAAGAGGTCTGAGGCAGAACAGTGTTGAGCATAACTTCTGGATGCACGGTTCCCTTGGCAAACTGTGCAGCCTTGAATTACATTTCTAAATCCTCACGCGTTGAGACATGAGTGCCTCAGAATGGGAGCTAAGGAGCTCGGTGAGCTCAGCACCAAGAGCATCCTGCACTGGGCTGTAGAGAAGTGCTGAGGACTGTACTCTTTCTGCAAAAAAAGGTCCCTTCTTTTCATCTATGGTGGGAGCATCTGTCTCCACATGAATTTCATGCATCAAGGCAACATAAGTGGGGAAAAGCTGCCTTTGTGAGTCTCAGGAGACTGTATGCATTAGGGAAGGACCATAATGATTTGTCTTTCCAGAGCAAGCTGTGCTGGGGATGTGCCAAAATGGAGCCTTTGAAAAGGTTTGTCCACTTTAGCTCCTGACAGATTAGAGGATAGCTAAGCAAATGTTTGGGGGATAAGCTTGAATCCTGCTTAGCTCTAATTAAGCCTAATATGCCTCATTCCTTGTTTTTTTTTTTTTTCCTCCTGACGCTGTTGTTGATAATGCATTCAAAGGATACTGTGTTGTTGTGCCAAACACACTGGTTAATATAACTGAATTTATTTATTAAAAAGAAAAGTAAATGTTCAATTTAGATAGTAAGGTAAAGGTAGTAGCAATTATGTCATTTTCTGTCCCTTGATAGTGTGAAGAAACATAGTCCATCAGGTCACTGAAGAATAATGTTTAGGTGACCAAATGTGTACACTACTGCTTGTGGGCAGGTTTGTGCTTTTTCCTTACACAGGCCCAGCTAATAATAATTGCTTACGGAGTAGTAGTCCGTGACTGCAGGTGCACAGATTTTTCTTTACTCTGATGAACTATTTGTCGTATTTGGAAGTCATAGGAAAGATTCTTCTCTTGTTTTACAGTCTTCTGTAGCTGAAGAGAATGAGACTTTATTGCAGTGGAACGAACTCTAGAATACCACAGTTATCCAGTTGTATGTATGCATTCAGACAGTGATATGTCCCTGTTATAATACATATTTGCTGACAGCATGGACAACTTAGAGAAACCTCTCTCCCCCTCAAATCGCCAGCTAAATTCATCTCCTCTTTTTGGAACTGAAAAATAATACCAAACTGCTGCTGGAAAATATGCAGAGCTATTCGTAACAGCTCAGAAAGATTTGTATTTCAATACCTTATGACAAAATTATATGAATTAGCCAAATGTGTCTTCTGGACTACTCTTACCTTTGTATGTAAGCATTATTATTTTTAATTCATTGTTCATTGCATTGTTCATCACCAAAAATGCCATAAGATGTATTGAAAACTCATACAAAGGAAGTGTTAAGAGACACAAAGCAAAGCCTTTCTACAGTTCATAGAATGTACTAATGATTAATCTTAGTACAAAGAAAATTTCTTTTATACAGACATGTATTTTTATATAAAAATTAGCCTTCACTGTTAATGTATCATAGTTCCTACAGCTGAGAAAAGATTTTTTGTAGGTATTTGGATCCTAATGTCCTTGGTGTCTTAAAAAATGTTCTTTCAAATTGTTCATTTGAATTTGGCATAGATCCTACAGTCTTTGTGATAGTGTTGTAGCTTAATTTGCCTTTATTTTACCTAACAGGTTTGCATCATAAATGAAAAAGTTGGAAGAATGCTATATCCCAACATGTTTAGATTTAGGCCAGTAGATTTCTTTTTACTATGGATACAGCTGACTGCTTTCCTATTTTGAATTAAATGATTTATTTGTATGCTTAATTTTCTTCAATCTCCTTTCATCAGCTGAAAAGTACCAATAAAACACCAGCTGACCATTAGAAGACAGATAAAATAGTATGATATATCTTCATTAGTAGGGTATGCTCTCTAAACTGTTTTCTTCTCTTGCAGGACGGTTCTATTTACCCTGACTTCTGTAGTTGTGCTTGTCATCACAACTGACTGGATCAGCTGGGACAAGTTGAATCGTGGATTTCTGCCAAGTGATGAGGTCTCAAGAGCCTTCTTGGCTTCTTTCATCCTAGTGTTTGACCTTCTCATTGTCATGCAGGTATATTGTCCTGTTTCATTCAAGCTGATAAGGCTGCCTAGTCACTCTGCTTTCGCTAGTGTAGATACTGTTTAGCTAAAACTTCACACAGGTAAATAAATGTTTAGCATGCAAGCACTATTATTAGAAATTTTTCTAACACTCTTGTGAAGACTTTGCAAAAATCCAGGTGACCTTTTTTGTTTGTTTTTGTGAAAGCATCCCTGATTTCTTTTCTTAGACTGTCAGGTAAGACCTTAATGGCTTTCCAAAAGGGAAGGCATTTTCTGCAAAAATGCCATTGGAAAAATAAATAGAAGCTACTTGTTCTGGAAATTAAAAGCATTTGTTAAGCAAATGAAAGAAATCCAGCAAAACAAAGAAAAATACTGTCCCTATTTCAAAGATTTATAATATTTGATATATGCACAATGTAGAAATGCATTTATTTAAATGCATTTCTACATTGTGCATATATAATTGTGCATATATAAAATATTATAAAATATTTTTAAATTAAAATTCATATTTGCTATTGATACTAATTTGATACTGATTGATTTGATTTGATACTGATTTGATTTGGTACGATACTGATTTGCTATTGATTAAAATTTGCTATTTGCTAATATTGATCAATTTGCTATTGATACTCCACTTTCTACTTTCACATATCATTTTTTTTTACCTTGTTTGTGACGTATCAGTCTACTGAAATGCCTTTTGCCAGGGAGGAAATAATTCCCTAGAGCCTGCCTGATGTCTGCTCCTTTGAATCTCGCTGTTAAGTAGAGGGCTTGGGTCACAAGCCAAACACCTCCTTCATATGGTGCTATGCCCTGTGCTTTGCATTTTTCTGTGGTTTGACTTTGTGTGAATAACTCATCTATTGCTTTGTGAGGAATTAGGGCATTTGGGCTGAAAGTAAAAGAAATGTCAAAGGCCGGAGTGACTTTTCTGTTAGTCCTAGAAGTGTTAGACTGTTAAGCTGAAGTTTAGCAGAAATTTGAGAAGAACTGCTGGGACCTTCTCTCTCAAATAAATTATTGCCTAAGTCTGCCAGGAAAGACCATTTCTGAGAGACACCTTGTTCTCTTTACTAAGATATCTATTGCTGAATAATTGCCATAGATGTGAAACTCAGAATTTATCACCTCTGTACTAGGACATTAAATCAGTAAAAGGTCTTTTAGTTACATTTGATTTTCCAGTGGCCACCAGTGTTCACTGCTGTCTATGGTTAGAAGAAGGTTAGGAAATGGAATTTAGTTTCAATTTCTAATGAGCTTTCTGGTACTTTTTTTACCTCCTTTTGCATTTTACATTTTGTTTGGTGTTTCAAAAAGATTTGAGAGAATGTATAATAAATTATTCTACTTCAAGGGCTGTGTAATAAAAGCATGAATGAAAATGCACAATACATCAAGCTATACTGAATTTCATATTGTATAGCAGGTAGAGAAACAGAGTTGTCTTGATATCAAATAATTATTAAATCATACTTTCATCTTTGAAAAATGCAGTCACAGTATTTTGACCTTGGAGTTGCTGCATATAGGGAAGAATTTCATTTGAAAGAGCCTGTCCTGAGTGTTATTTCATGTTTTTACAACACAAAGTGAGAGGCTCTTTTTAATTGCATTTTTGATGTATGTTTATGTGATGGAGTTATTTATTTTAACTGATTTATTTGGGATATGCAGCTAAGTTGGCATGTTTTATTTAGTGTAGTTCTAGCATCATTGCCTCTGAAAATCAAGTTGAGTGCAACAAATCATAAATGAAAATCTCTGTCAAAATCATGATCTTCTGACTGAAATACAAGTGTACCTTTGAATTAAATGTTTGCATAGATTCTTTTTAATAGCACTGTCTGGTTCATAGAACTTTTACAGACTTAACAAGCTTTAACAACAAAACAGTAGAATTAGCAAAAAATACCTTTGGGATTAAGTGCTACAAATTCAATTTGAGGTTGGCATTAATTAATCTAGCCCAGTTCTTGAATTAAATGTGCTACAGACATTTTCTGTCTATTCGAGTGGTAGCATTAGTACTGTAAAAATGAGTATGTTTAGCAAGAAGAGAAAAAAATTCTCAGTGTTGTGAAAAATAATTACATAATTGTGAAGGACTGCTTTGCCTGCCTCTCAGCCACACACTTAGTGTACAAAGACTCCTTCTGTCCAGGCAGTAAACTCTACTTAGGAGACAAGTCAGAGAGAGTCAGAGGCAAGAGCACTGACTGAAATGCAAAAGTGAAAGTCCTAGCCATAGAAATACTATGATAATGCACGGAAACAAATCATGGAGGAGGCTGCAGGATGTAAGTGGGACCTCACAGATAGTGTGGTTTATGAATCAGGCTCCGTTCCTACCTTTCTGACAATCTCACTGTGTCTCTTCAAATCACCATGGAGACAAGGTAAAGAGACCTTGAGTTCCTATTTTAGATGTCTCCTGTGTGGACATCCCCACCTGATTTTATTCACTGTGCCTTTATAGTGGATTAAAAGATAGAGGTGTGGCAGGGATGCTGGTCCCCAGTGCTGTTTTGAGCAACTAGAGTAGCATGAGATGCAACATGCCTCAGAGGTGCACATTCCTCTGTATTGTGAATGAGCAGAGCCAGCATGTCTCAGGGGAAGTTAATCCCTCAAGCCAGACCTAAAAGAAAAGTTATGAGAGTGGCATGTAGATGATTGAGTCCTGAACAGCATCTCTGCAAGGCACTTGCTCAACTATTGCCACCTGGGCAAAGGGTGTCACTTTTGGACCATGAGGTGGATTGAGAACTGGCTAGATGGCAGAGCTCAGAGGGTCATGATAAATGGGGCCAAGTTTATTTGGAGGCCTGTGGCCAGTGGTGCCCCCAGGGGTCAGTACTGAGCCCAGTGCTGTTCAACTTGTTTTCCACAAGGACAAGTGCAGGGTCCTGCACCTGGGAAGGAATAACCCCAGACACAAGTACAGATTAGGGGTTTACCTGTTGGAAAGCAGCTCCATGGAGAGGGATCTGGGAGTCCTGATTGACACCAAGTTAACCATGAGGAAGCAATGTGCCCTCGTGGCCAAGGCGGCCAATGGGATCCTGGCTGCTCCAGGAGGAGCGTTGCCAGCAGGCTGAGGGAGGGGATCCTGCCCCTCTATTCGGCTCTGGTGAGGCCACACCCGGAGTATTGGGGGCAGTTCTGGGCTCCCCAGGATAAGAGGGACATTGAGCTTCTAGAGAAGGTCCAGTGTAGAGCCACGAAGATGATTAAGGGACTGGAGCATCTATCATATGAGGCAAGACTAAGTAAGTGAGGTGGGCCTGTTTAGCCTAGAGAAGAGACAAGTGAGAGGGGATCTGATCAATATGTATAAGTACCTGGGGGGAGAATGTAAAGAGGATGGGGCCAATCTCTTCTCCATGGTGGCCAGTAACAGCACAAGGGGTAATGGGTACAAATTGAAACACAGGAAGTTCCATCTAATTATGAGGAAGAACTTCTTTCCTGTGAGGGTGACAGAGCTCTGGAACAGGCTGCCCGGAGAGGTTATGGAGTGGAGTCTCCTTCTCTGGAGACTTTCAAAAGCTGCCTGGATGCCACCCTGTGCCACGTGCTCTAGGTGTCCCTGCCCTAGAGGTTCCTTCCAACCACAACCATTCTGTGATTCTGTGATACTACCTGGCCACTCAGTGTGTGAAAGGAATACACATTTCAGTGAGTCTAGGACCATGTATCAGAGATGACGGATGTGCAGGTTAGGGTGTTTGACAGTCAAGACATCTTTCCCTTTACTGAAGGCAACAAAGTTGGTCATATTCACAATCTGCTTATTTGTGCCTGCCTTGAAAACTGAGATGCCAAGATGCCTGCATATGTATACTTCTGGTATCTATAGCAATCACTGCTCTATACAGGCATGATTCTATCTTTGGTCTTAATTTCAGATTGAGTGCAGGACCACACGTTATTTAAAGCTGGGTATGCCACAATGCTGTTTCCATGTAGTTTATTATTGCAAAATTTCACATTTTTTAGTTCTGTTTGTCAATGATGTTAATGGAAAAGATGTTAATTAAAGTGGTAAGTATGAAAAGTATGAAGAAATTCTGTAATTCCAGATTCCAAAGACCTCTAATTGAGCAAGTAGGCAGTACTGTTAATCCATATATTGCTTTCCTTCCCCCCACCCCTCCTTTCTGGCATCATGTTTTTGGTCAGTTTGCTAATGTGTAGGAGTCTGTGTGGTTAGATTATTAAATCTTGTGTGTCCAGAGGAGATGAATTATTCCACCCCTGATGTGTCTTTTGTGAGTATTTACAGATTTCTGTAGACTTTCAAAAGACTGTGCTGCATCTCTGTGGAGCTACATGCTGTAGCTGCCTTGCTGAGCACTGCAAATTCCACGGCGTGAATTTTTGTGCTCTCTATGATTTACTGCAACTTCTAATCTGATGTAACAGAGAGGTGTAATATCCGAGGGCTTAAATCTACCTAGGAATGCTATTTGATTCCAGAAGGAGAATTTATTCTTCAGTAAATCGAATAAATTCTGAAGGTAGTTAAGTGGAATAGACATAAGTCAGGGAATGCTTGTTTATAAGATTCTTTGAAAAAAAATTCCATTTGTTGAATCTAAAACCAAACTACTAAAATAATCCCAGTGATATCCAATGGCAATGCTATTGTAAATGGGCACAATAGCATTTTGCGCTTCTAGATAATTTGAAATTAGTTAAAGTCAAACAGTTAGCTAATTAACAACATTCCTTACAACTAGTGATGAATATCTTTATGTAGTTATAGGATATCTGTAGATAAAAGATGTTAATAATACTCTTTTACAAATGTATGTTTTTCATGATATTTTATATGATATTTTATATTTTATTTATCTACTCAGCCCTGGTGAGGCCACATCTGCAGTACTGTGTGCAGTTCTGGGCTCCACAGTACAAGAGGGATGTGGATCTACTGGAGAGAGTCCAGCACAGGGCTACAGGGGGGCTTGGACCATCGGCCCTATGAGG